ACGGCACTCCGTGCCCAGATCGAGCTTTCCACGCAAGGTTTATTGGGCGGTGATGTGTATAAATTTGAGAGATGCGCGAGCACGAAATGCATGCGGCAACGTATATTTCATCATATGCGATATCAGTGTGTTGGGCAACAACACCTGAGGTACAAAACAACCCTAAAATAATTTGTATTTATTAGCAGCAGCAATTTTATGAAATACAAGTAATTTTAGTTACAAGGTTTTTGAATATTTAGTAAACTGCAGATCTTTTAAAGGCAATTTGGCCACTTGGAGATATTACTGCAAAAAAACATCAACCTCTCGTCAAGAAAACAAAAGGAATTTAATAATTTCTACTTTAATTTACATGCGTTTACATAAGTAATTTGAAGTTTTATATACTGCAAGATTTATTTTATGTATAGTAAAAAATCGATGACATTAACATAATAAATAAACAGCTATTTGTTTTAAAAAATCAATTATTTTATGTACAAAAAAATCAACCAATTCTATAAATAATCTCAGTTTCAATTATTGTATTTTAAATTATATATTTTTATTTAAAATACATTCAAGATTTATTTTAAAACCTTGCACACTTGTTTCCATTTTTGTTTGTTTGTTAAAAATGTTTAACAAGTGTAAGGTATACAAACAAACTTTATTTGTATATAAATAAGTTTAGAAATAAATCTTTTTGGGCAGTAGATGCAAATAATGTTGAGGTGGAGGATTCTGGTATTCTTAACGTTTATTGTCAATAGAGTAAATATTGCCCTAGGCCTAATCATCATTGGTTAAATCACAACAATCCATTCACTATACCTGCTATATACACAACATTATCACTTGTAATATTACATGTAATAGATCCAATTACAAAATCTTTATTGATACTTTCTAAAATATATCTCAATCTTTTTTACAGAATTTACGATTTCCCAGTAATACATTGTGCAATTTTACAGTAATAATCCAATTGTAAAACTATTTATTTCGTGGATTACATTTTCTTTACTAATATCCCAAATATAAATTGTTAATGCATGTAGAAAAAATAGTTTCATTTTTAAATTAGTATTGTCAAATTTAGTAAACAGAAAACTTATTGGCAAAGGCAAAAAAGCCTTCTCTGTCTCAGATTCTCTAATTCAGTAAGAGCTAGAAGCTAATTTGTCTTAAAATATTTAGTCTGCAGGTGGAGCATCTATGTTGATGTTGGAACTATGGTCACAAACAAGAAGTGTGCACAAGAACATTTTGCTGTTTGACAATAATTTACAGTGATGATTTTTCATTCTGTAACCCTCATCAATAATTATGTATTTTCACTGTAACTTTGCCAAGACACTTTTGTCTTTTATAATGTACTCGTAAATAGTCAGTAGTACATTGAACTTAGTGGCACGTATTTGAGATTGTATCGCTTTTCTGCCAGCTGGAGATCCTTCACATGAAACAACAACAACACTTGGAGCCCATTTTTCAAATTCGAGCATCCAATTTAAAAGAGTAGACAACAGAACAAAAATAAGAAGTGGGCCATTTACTTTCTTTTTCTCCATAAAATAACTTATCAAATATATAGTATGAATTGTTTTACCCAAACCCATCTCATCAGCTAAAATACCATTGAGGTTGTTTTTAAATAATGAAATCATCCATTCAAGACCTCTAATTTGATATTCCTTTAGTTTTTCCATTAACTATTATAAAAGCTTCCTGGGTAACTGTTACATTGATAGTGTGAGCAATATTATAATAAATTTGTTCTTCAGTTTGTACTCATCATCATTCAGCTTCAGCTTTCTGAATAGTATTCTTGACTTTTCCTCTTCTTCTTCAGTTCTTTGTTTCTCATTTTCTTCTCTTCTTTACCATTTTCATCTTCATCTTCATATTCACTGTCAGATTCCATTGGTTCCCAACCAGGATGAGATTCCAAAAACGAATTAAGTTGAGCAACTGTTGGAACATCTGCACCACTTCGAGTTTGATCAGTGGCTATTTCTACCACACTAACCCGGCTATTTCATATTCACCATCTCCTAATTCACCATCCTGATATCTCTTTTTCTTTTTCTTTTTCTTTCTCTTTTCTGCTTCAACTTGTTTCTTTTTCTGTTCCATTTTATGGTTAATTATTTCTTATCTACAATAAAATGTATACACATATACATTTTACTTATCATCTTAAAATTAATTACTGAATAGAAGGAAATGTTTATCAGCTTTTACTTTTTTTATTTATAAGGACAATAAATAGTACCTGCCAATTATGCACTCATTATCAGCTTCATCGAGCTCTTTAGATGTAACATTAGTAGACAGAATATACATGTTTCATATCGTTCTTCTAGACGTCTTTGAAATTTCTCATTGTAAAGTGCATAGATCCAAAGGTGAAAATGGTAGTGCATAAAAACAATAACAATCTAACCTGAATTATGATTATAAGCATTTCTTACATTTGTGATTAAGCCAAGTAGAATAATGATTAAAGAATTTACACTGACTTCCATGAGTCCAATAACTAATTCAGTATATTACATGTAGACAGGTTTATTATCCCAAGGACTACCTTTGTAAATCAATAGTATGGATAATGTAATTTATAAATATACGAATCATTTTGTCGAGTCTGGTGGATAGGTGCATGACTAGTGGACTCATATACATATTCCTCAGGTGTTACTTCTCAACACACTGATTTCACATTCCATGGAATGAGGCTGGCAACAATAAATTGTATAATTATCACTACGAATATTGACAATATAAGTTTCCGTACGCATTTCTTTCTCACCGGCCTGTCAAATTTATACACAAACACAACACATCACCGGTGCCCATGATTAGGTTAGATTACTTTGCTGGCTGCTGCGGTCTGCATCTGGCACTCGTCTGCTCGAGTGTACACCGGGATCAACGCCATCTCTTAGAGAGATTGTTTTTTCGATGCGATAATACGTGAAAAATAAGAAAATTGCTAAATTAAACGGATCGAAAAAAGGCTCTGTGGGAGCATTCATTTTGTTGCTCTGAATATCTCAGTCAAATTTCAGCTCATTCCGTTCAGCCGTTTCTCCGGAAAACGTGTTTGAAATTTTCAAACACGTTTTCCGGGAAATCTGGTCGGTGGAATTGGATGAAAATTTTTTCTCGTGTTCATAGCAACAATATAAATGCTATATAAAACAATATAAATAACAATATAAATGTAAAAAATGTGGGGTATAGACCAGCTTAATTGAACATTAATATAGACTTTTTTGATACAAAAAATGCCTATTAAATATTCTGGCTTATATTTTTCATAATTTATTAAAAACAAAGTTGAAAATGATATCTTTTTTGCATGAAATTTTATTTATAAAAATACAAAACGTACATAAAATGATGACTAGAATATCTAGCCTCGAGAAATTGAAGTTACAATAAAAAATTTTTATATGAATTATTCCTTTCATTTGAAATAAATTTTCAAAAATTAAGTAATGAACATCTTAGTTAAGTTACTTTTTCGAAATTTGGTCTCTAACTAAAACAGTTGTAGAAGAATGATGATGAAACCATGAGGCACTCGAGGCTCTTACTTATTAAGCCTGTAAATAAATTATATACAAAAATCTGGAATGTATAGTATGTCGCATTTTCCGAACCGATTCATATACTAATCTAACGTGTGAGTTTTTGTAACTCGCTACGTGGTTCGTCCTGTAGCTCGCCCTGTGTCTCGACAAGTGGCTTGACAAGTGGTAGTCCAAGTTCACTTTTTCGTATTTTAGCTAACCTATCTTGCAAGGTACGTACTGGTACTTTATTGTCTAGAAGCTCGACGGCTTTCGATGGTGTCCAACCTGAAAGCGACAATTCGATCGCTTTCTGCATGTCCTCCGATCTATAATTTTTGTACTTCTTTCCTGTACGCGGTTTCTTCATTTTGAAGTTGAGTCGTTGATTATCTAAAATAAATTAATTTATGAGTAAATTATTTAATCATCAAATAAAATTGTAAAAATGTACACAACATTATAATATAAGTTACAACTTACCATTTCTCACTGATTTTCGTCGCTGTTGACTCGCCACTTGAGAAATGTGCTCAAGACCAGCAACAGCTATTGGTTGGACAAGGGATCGCTGAGCGAGTTGATATGCAAGAAGTTGTTGATATAGTGTTGGTGCAGTCCACACGTTCATTGACGTCGGAGGCTGTATAAGTGATTGTACATTCACTGAGTGCTCCATCATTGGCTGCACTGTAGGATTTTGTCTTGATTTATCACTGATGAGTTGTTGGAACACGTGGTACATGTGCCGCTGTTGTTCTTCCGACCATTCGGTTGACATAGGCACACTCGACGATTCGAGTGATATCGGCCGCTGTATGTGAAATTGTTGGTAAATTTTACTTAATTTTTCGTACGTTCGGCACACTTCCTGCAATGCATGCTCATTTGCAGGATTTTCTTGGTAAATTTTTATGTATAGTTGGAAGCATCGCTGCAAGTCCAGCCACAATTGTTCTTTCGCACTCGACAATTCGGTTGACATAGGCACGCTCGAAGATTCAGGTGATATCGACTGCTGTATCAGTGGTTGCACCTTCACTGACTGTTCTATCACTTGTTGTTCAATTTCTTCCGCTTCGATTTCCTCACCATTCACATACAGGCAACTTTTTTTAAACTTCGGATACACCATGATGCACAAAATTTCAAAAACTTTTGAAAGAAAAACTAAGAACTCGATATAGCACGACCAAACGTCTGCGCCGAAGCCTGATTCAAGACTGAAGGTGCTAGAGCATTCATAGGACTACAGCAGCAACTCGCGCCGAAGAAGCAAAAGAAGAGGGGAGTCACTAGGCCCGCCCATAGTGTAGGCCGTAGCCTTTCCATTACAAGATATTAATCCAAAGCTTCCTTACATGGAGTTGATGCATATGGCGCATTCAAACTAAAGAGGTTATCATGATAAAATCGTTACGACTTTCTAGGTACATGTTAAATAAAAAATAAAACGGCGATAAAGGCGGTGCGAACGTCAAAATTTATTAAAAATTATAGGCGGTGGGTGAGAGTGTAAAATCTCACACTTCTCATCTCCTAGTCGACGTTTTGCCGATCGCTTTGTCGGCCTTTTAAAGAGGTTATCTAAAAAAAATTTCGCGTAAGTGGTCAGCACGGAAACAAAAGATATTTGGCTAACACGGCATAATTATTAGGTTGTGTATTACTGCTGTATTATTCCGAAATTATTCTACAAAAACGAAGTTATTGCAAAAACTAAAAGCGATTGCTGTGACGAGTTTTGTTGGAAAAGCATATTTACATAAATTGCATACAATATTTTTTTAATGCAAGAGTTTGAAAATTTGCAATTTTCAAATAAGAATGCTATAAAATATCTTTTGCAGATTAAGCTAATTACTTTTGCTAGATTCCTCCAAAAAAATTTTTTTTCAGCGTATGCTTCCGAATCATGAGAAGCTCATGACTAATTTAGAGTAACGTGGGTGTATATCTATAACGTATTGAATAATAATTAAATATTTCCATTCCATTCCAAGAAAGATATATGAAAAAAGCAAATAATCTAAGCCAAGTTTTGCAACGCAGACGAACGTACGAAATTTTCCATTTCAAGGTCACGTGTTTTACAACAAATTCAATTAAGCTGTAGCATTACGTCATAATTTTTAGCAATCATATATTTAGCAACTAAAGTATACTATTCTCCAGGCATAGGTATTAGATAAAATTTTTGTTATCGTTAATATATTTTATCGAAAAGCAGCAAATAGTTCATGTTTCCATTCCTATTCGCATTAATACCATTCGCAAGTATTTTCTGTATTCCAAAAAGGTCCCCTTCTCTTCTCTTCGCATGTGAGTGAGTCTTCTACAAGAGGATAGTAATTCTAATTTTTTCTAAGACTGGGCCAAATGACTTTCACGAAAAATGAAAGTGAAAGGTGGTTACATATATCGTATTTCACGCTTGCCCAGAACGTGCGCTAGCGTGGGGCAATTTTTTAATGCATCGCAACTTTTTTAACACGCCGTGACTAGTACAATTGGGTATGAAAAAATGTAGCGCACGTGCATTCCGATAGATATTTGTCTATTCTTTCGAATGGTGACATCAATTTTTCAAAAAAAGTTAATTTTCATGGAGAAAATTGACTTCAAAGTTAACTCAATTTTTCGGTAAGTATGACCGCTTCGATTTTGTTCGTAGATGTCTCAATCAATAGGTAAACTAATAACGAAGGTCTGTGTAAAATTTCAAGTTGGAGGTTCAAACGGTTCAAAAGTTATGAACAATTAAGTAGCAAAAACGTGGTTTTCGGACAAATTCCGGACACGTGCAGCTGCTCTCCTCTCAGCCAGTAGGAGAGGGGGTAGCGGGAGTCGACGAGAATAGACTCGCACGGCCCGAATTCATCCAAAAACCACGTTGTTCGCTACTTAATTGTTCATAACTTTTGAACCGTTTCAGTCTCCAACTTGAAATTTTGCACAAACTTTTGTTATTAGACTACCTACCGATTGAGATATCTACGAATAAAATCGAAGGGGGCATACTTGCCGAAAAATTGAGTTAACTTTGAAGCCAATTTTCTCCATGAAAATTAACTTTTTTCGGAAAACTGATATCACCATTCGAAAAAATAGACAAAAATCTATCGGAATGCATGTGTGCTACATTTTTTCAGACATAATTGTGCCAACCACGGCGAGTTAGAAAAGTTGCGATACATTAAAAGATGCCCCACGCGAGCGCACTGTCTGGTCGAACATATGGCTCCCAGAATCATTTTTCGTTCGTCATTCGGCCTTGGATGTGTGTATCTCAGTTTTAGTAAATTGCTGTTCGTGCAGCTGCATCGTTTCCATCGCCTCCACTACGCTCGTTTGCGAATCGGGTGCGATTTTAGCGACTTCATAGGAGTCAGTTAAAAAATGGTGTACGATACGCAAACTATAAAGACATTTTTCGGCCCAGCTATTAGCACTTGTTGCATACATACTTTTATGCAATAATAAGCGAGTATACTTTTATAATAGTTTGATATCACATAAAAAAACGAGGCTATTCACAGCATACTCGTGTCCAAAAATTTTATTTGCAAAAAGTGTGCGAAAAATTCTACATGCATTTTACGTTGCACCAATGCATGAAAAATAATTTTTTTTTTTAAATATAGTAAATTTCATTCATCTATAAATCATACACAGTTTATAGTTATTTGATGAATATTCAGATGAATTATCAGTCCAAAATAACGAAAATGAGCTAGCTACAGCAAATTTTTACGTGTAATGAAAAAAAATCCTGTGGAAACTGTCACTCCAATGTACTCGGCCGATTGACTTCATATTTTACTCGTCATCTGAGTGAATAATATTTGAGGTAATGACGTTGAGATAATTTATCCTATGGATTTTTAACATTTGCTGGTTACCAAAATGTATAATGATTTTTTACCTTGCTTAAAAAAAAAAAAAACAGGTCTTTTTTTATTTTGAAATAATGCCAAAAACTCGAAAGTGGTACATATAACAGTTTTATCGTAAATTACTAATTATCATTAGCTTCCAACTATAATAATTATTGCTAAATCACAGATCTTCTTGACTTTCAAAATGAAGCAGCTTATTCGAATGAATATGGCCACGATTCAAGTTGTGAATAAATGGCTACTCCGAGAGAATTCCCCCTCTTACCTCATTCTCTATTTTTCGCACAGCTTTGACATCTGATTTGCGAGCTTCCATCCTCTCCCTCTCCCCACGCTACAAAATGGAGACGCGATTCATCTTTCACATTCGCAATTTTCGTTTCAGTTTTAGCACAAGTTTAATAGTTTTAGCTACTGTTATTCGCAGTATTTTCTGTATAATCAACGTTCCTTACAAATGCTTAAGATCATATCGTATTCTCAATTTTTTTTCGACTTATTTATTTATCTGGAAAGTCTAAGAAATATCAACTTTGCAATATCGTAGCAGTTAAAGATCGGTCGAATTGCAAACACAGAATTCCGAACACCGAATGTCGTGCTACAAAAACTTTTAGTTTAGCTTTCTTGAAATTCGTCTCAATAACATTCACTGTGCTAAGCGGGATCTACCAAATTTTCCTACAAATTTCGTGCGATCGTACACTCGAAAACGTTAAGCAGTCTTCGCAATTGACGAAGCTGTACACTCTTTCGTGGTGGAATATTTTTGTGTTTAATGTTTGAAGAATCAATCACTTTTTTATGTAGATTTCTAATGAGATACGCAATAAGCATGTGAATTCACTGCTTTACATACTACACTCGGCAACAAAATTATCGCAACAAAAAAATTCATCGAAATTTTGTCGATTTTCAAATGCTTCTATCTTGGGCTAGATTTATCGTATCGACACGCTTTTTTTTTTAATTTCTTGGAAATTTTGTCCTCTTTAAATCCATATAAATTAAGATAAGATTTGAGTTAATGTTGAGTTACCAGTAGTATTTGAGCGTGACCCTAAAAATTACTGAAAACAAATGACTGTTTGAACGTGTACCAGTACCACAGTGATTTTTTTATCGAAATCTAACATACATACACCATCGTAAAGTGCTCTTTTTAACGAGTAATTTAAAAAAAAAAGACCTCTCTACGATTTTTTTAACGCCCTGCAGGTCGATTTGAAGATACCATTTAAAGTACGTAAAATCCCCCGTTTACCTAAAATCAAGACGATTTTCTGGGCATTTTGCGTACATAAACCGTACCTTCAAATCGACCTACAGGGCGTTAAAAAAATCGTAGAGAGGTCTTTTTTTTTTTAATTACTCGTTAAAAAGAGCACTTTGCGATGGTGTATGTTAGATTTCGATAAAAAAATGGTACACGTTCAAACAGTCATTTGTTTTCAGTAATTTTTAGGGTCACGCTCAAATACTACTGGTAACTCAACATTAACTCAAATCTTATCTTAATTTATATGGATTTAAAGAGGACAAAATTTCCAAGAAATTAAAAAAAAAGCGTGTCGATACGATAAATCTAGCCCAAGATAGAAGCATTTGAAAATCGACAAAATTTCGATGAATTTTTTTGTTGCGATAATTTTGTTGCCGAGTGTATTTAATTTCTGCCGCTATGAAACGAAAAAAGGAGGTCAAACACAACGATTGCGAGCCTTAGCAAACTTTACGGGAATCAGAGTCAGCTGCGAACACGTGACATATATTTAGCAAGAGAATTCACAAACAGTAAAGCATCTTAACCCTTTAATGCCTGAAATGACCATTTTTGGACAACATTTATAGCGATGAATTACACCGACTAGAAATTGTTTAAAAAACTTTTCAGATATCATTTCTCACGTAAAATTTGATGTACATTTCGAATCCGGGGTCAGAATTAAAAACAAATCATTAAATGAAAAGTTATAAACAATTTTGTAAAAAAAAAACATGAAATTTCGAGAAAAAAATCTCGTTTAACCTATTAACGACAAACTGCTTGATTTTTTTGTTGGTTTTCGCAGCGATTTTTTTTGTAGTTTGAGGCCTCCAAAAAGTTTCGTATGGACCTATTTCGATGTAAAATTTAATGTTTTTTCAGAAACTGAGCTCAAAATGTCGATTCCTTGCGCAATAAACAAGTTATGGCTACTTATACGAACAAAAACGTAAAATTTTTTGCAAAAAATCAAGTTTTTGATTTTTTTTCACCATGTTACCGTCAGGGAATCACGATATAAATATGATCAGGGGTGATCACGACTATCAAAGTATCTCAGGGAATTTTTAAGGAATTTTCGAACCACTACTTCAAACAAAAAATAACTTATATTCATATAAAACATAACTCATTTTTACTCGAAAACTACTGAATTTAGAGAAAAAGGGCAAAAAACGAAAGTTTGAAAAGGAGTTAAAAAATTCCATAAAAATTCTCTGTGATACCTTGATCATATTTATATCGTGATTCCCTAACGGTAACATGGTGAAAAAAAAATCAAAAACTTGATTTTTTGCAAAAAATGTGACGTTTTTTTTTCGTATAAGTAACCATAACTTTTTTATTGCGCAAGGAATCGACATTTTGAGCTCAGTTTCTGTAAAGACATTAAATTTTAAATCGAAATAGGTCCATACGAAACTTTTTGGAGGCCTCAAACTACAAAAAAATCGCTACGAAAACCAACAAAATAAACGAGCATTTTGGTCGTTAATGGGTTAACTGAGATGTTAAGATTGAAACACGTAGCCAGCTGATCACATGAAAGCCTCGTAAATTCTAATAAAGATCTCCTTTTTATCTAAATTTATCTAAATGGACCAGAACACTCGGTAATAATCGACGTTATCATGCCGCACCTGAGTTTAATGATCACACATTGTCGATTAAGATCTACGTATGCATTATAATGGAGTCTTTTGGATCATGGCTATATGAATTTCTCCTGAATATCTGTACTACAGTCAATCGTTACATTACGCGAAAATACTTTAATTGCTTTTACTATTTTTATGATCATACTCGCGTATTGTAACATACTCATAAGATTTATTTCAGTATACATTTATTATGGATGTGGGCTTTTCACGTGTATTATACGAATGAGTAAGATTGTGATAAAGAATTCATAGATTAATAAGTTTTTAATTATTTGCCAGAATAGAAAAATATTGTACTTCGATTTTTTCTTTCAGGTAACCCAATTATGTTTTTGTGGAGAACGAGTCTGAATAAACGTCAAAAATATATTACAAATTTGGCATAGGAGGAAGCTCTTTGCCAATTGTATTGTGTTTGTGAATTGGTAGCATTTTTCAAAGCAATAATGAATCAAAATATTGATGAAAATTTGATAGTAATAATAGTATAAATTGAAGCATGGTTTACCTATAAAATTTATATTAATTATGTCTTAGATTCAAATTTAATGTAAAGCTTTTTCGATTATCGTTTTCACAATCAAAAACTTTGATCCTGTTTTCTGTAAAAATTACTAAATGAAATGAAATGAAATTTTGTATAGCTATTCAAAGTAGTGTGTACGTGGCGCCTTCAGCAAGCCCTTGCATCACTCGGCGACAACCGAGCCGAGCTAGGGAATTTCCCCACGCCGGACGGGCGATTTGATCACATCCACTTGGACATTGTGAAGATGCCGATGTCTCAAGGTTGCCAGAACTGCCTCACGATTATTGATCGATATACACGCTGGCCACAAGCAATTCCACTGACCGACATCACTGCACCAACGGTCGCCAAGGCTCTGTTCACAGGTTGGATCTCTCTGTTTGGCACACCTTTGACCATCACCACCGACCAGGGAGATCAATTCGAGTCGAAACTTCTGGCGGAGCTCGGCAGCATGGTCGGTGCAAAGCACGTCCACACGACTCCGTATCACCCAAAAGGAAATGGAATGGTGGAGCGCATCACTGAACGCTCAAGGCGGAGCTCAAATGTTCACCACAGACGTCGTGGACACTCGCACTGCCCGCCGTCCTTCTCGGCCTTCGGACGACGTTCAAGAAGGAACTCCAAGCATCTCCATCCGAGATGCTCTTCGGCACCTCATTGCGAATCCCCGGAGAGTTCATAGCTAAGCAAGACGTTGCCCAGACGCAACCAGCCGATTTCGTCGTCGCTCTTCGGCAGCTCTTTGCAGCGATGCGTCCGGTGCCAGCATCTCACCACGTTCAACATCGGCCTTTCGTCTTCAAGGAGCTCGGCAGCTGCGAATATGTACTCAGACTGAGCGGACCTTCGTTGTCGATGTCAACGGAGTTGAAAAAACCCTCTCAACTGATCAGCTCAAACCAGCGTTCCTCGAGACAGCCGACGAAGCGGGTGCTCGTCAAAGTCAACAGGAGCCGAGACCCTCCCAGGAGCTACAGCAGCACTCTCGGTCGCAATCAGCGACAGCCTCAACAAGCAGCGAGCCCTCACCACCCAGAAGAAGAGTATCATTCTCATTGCCTGGACAAAATGCCCAGTCCATTGGGGAGGGAGTAGCTGTGGCGCCTTCGGCAAGCCCTCGCATCGCTCGGCGCTCGAGGCCTTCACAAGTGAAGTATAGGATTAATAATTCAATTAAAAACTTTGTTTGAACTTACGTTTCACATTGAAAAAATAGAAAACTTAAAATAACTGAAAATGTATGCAAAGATGAAGGAATGTTTTTCCTTTCATTAAGAAAGAATCAATTTTTTTTTTGATAAATTTGGGAATTTGTTGGCCCCTTACACGTTTTCCCGACGGATTATACTTTACTTTTCATGAAACTTTTCATGACTTTTCGAATTTCATTAGAGTAAGCGTGAGCATCGCGCCGACTATTTCCTGGAAAGTGAAACGTATCTTTCCGATTGTATGCTAGCGCTCTATGTTGGATGGTAGCATCTCTCGAAACCTCCGCGTGCTTTACTGCGTGACATTTTTTCTCCGGCATCGTCATTTGTGATCGAAACACGCAATCGTGTACAACTCAAGTTGGCTTAGCCGCCCGTCATTTCGGCTTCATAATCCTCGAAATTAAAATTTAAGCCATCGGTGATACGATCAACTTCAATTAGCCCTCACAAGAAGTAAGTATAAATTTATAACAATTGTTATTATACAACACGACTAATAGATACCAGCATAAATCTTGACGTCTGTCTAATCGCGAATGTGTGCGTAGGTGTAGGTGCACGTGTCAGAGAGACAATTTAAAAATTACTCGTATTGAAAAATTATCCACGGACAAAACAAAAGTAAGTACACTAATTGGTGTTATAAATCAATACTTCTAACTACTTATTTAACAAGTATATAATATAAAAAAATTGATACTCAAAAATCGTATCAATTATTTGGATAGGTGCGCGCATTGAGTGAGGTCTATACACACTCAGTCGATAAAAAATACGTAATGATTTTTTACCCATTTTTTGTATTCTCTAGCGAACCATTAATCTTGAAATTTCATGGGAGTGATTATGAAACTCATAAAAATGTGCTTATGTCGTTAGTTTTCAATTAAATGACCGGTACTTTCAAGCAAACTTGATTTTCAATTATCCGCCTTTTATAACCCAAAAAGTAACGTGTCGTCAAACAATTAGTTAAAACGATTTCATTGAGCACTTCATTAAAATCTAACGACATTGGCACATTTTTATAAGTTTTATATTCACTCCCACGAAATTTCAATTTTAATGGTTGCCTAGAGAATAAAAAAAATTGGTACAAAATAATGTCGGTATGTCGGTATTTGTCGCTCTATACAGATGAGCCTTACAGAAAGTTTTGACATTATGTCGAGCACGTGTTTTGATTCGTGTTTCTTGACATTCGTGTACGATCAATTCCTACGGTCTCGCCTGCTTCTTCTTCTTCTTCTTCTTTTATTGTATTGATGATTGATGACTCGTAAAATTTCATTTACTAGATGAAATGCCATGTGTTGCATTGAATATTTACCGGAAATTCTTCTCAATTCGCTTTTCCACATATAAACGTAACTAGGCTTATATTCGTGAAAAATATCGTTAAAACACACGTTACATTCGATTCCCAGATTAGAAAATGACTTATCCCACCGAGAGCCGTGAAAGAAGATACATAGTATTATGATCTGAAGGCGGGGCTATGACGTCACGGGCCAGATTTTAACATTGTCGAGCAAGATAAAACGCCATAGCCCCGCCTTCACTTCAGATACGATATGGCGCGTACGATTCAAACCGTGGAATTATGAACAGCTTTTGTTATTTTTTAAAAAAACTGGAGCAATTTCCTCGACATCTTTTCCTCTTCTACGATCTGACCATATATATTTTCTTTTGCAGTGGAAGACGAAGAAATGTCAACTAGTGTTATGTCAAGTTCGAATGAAGAAACTGTGTCAGGTTTGGATGAAGAAGCTGTGTCAAGTTCGGATAAAGAAGTTGTATCAAATTCGGATAAAATAGTTGTGTCAAGTTTAGAAGAAGCTGTGTCAAGTTCGGATAAGGAAGTTGTATCAAGTTCGGATAAAAAAGTTGTGTCAGAAGAAGATATGTCAAGTTCGAATGAAGAAGTTATGTCTCAGTCCAGTAATTTTGTCCAGTTTCTAAGTTCAAGGACATCAGACATGAGGGTCAGAGTTGCAGATGCCCAATCGTATCTTGATAAAGTTAAACATCAATTACAGGATCAGCCACAGGTTTACAACTATTTCTTAAGAATTATGAACGAGTTTAAGTCTGGAGACATGGATTTTCCAGGAGTTATCACCATGATTTATTACTTATTTCATGAACATCTGAATTTAATCAATGACTTGACCCACTTTTTACCACCGGGTGTCGGATTTGAAGTTCACGAAAATGATCAAGGCTGCGATGTGATAGTCTTTTATGACATGCCAGTAGACTAATGCCGAGTATATAATTTATTTGTATCATGCAAACAATAGAGTTTATTTCCAATGTATATAGCTATTAAAAATTAAAAATAAATGTACTCGTATATATTTCTTTACCAAATGTAAGACACATTAATAAATAATTACAAGTAAAAAATCTGTTGAATTATTTTTCTTTATTGATCACGTCGGATAGTAAGTATAACGGATAATTTGCGTTTCTCATGACTCTTCGTTTCTCAACAAAAATCCATTGGCGATATGATAAATTAATAAGTGACACAATTATTTGAATTAATTTTTTCCAAAAAATGTGATATTAAATAGATTTAGGACAGAAACGAATCGTCGATTAAATACAGATAGTAAAAAAAATTAAAAGAAATTAAAATTAAACTTGAATTCGTTTTGAAACGGAAGTAATGTAAGTAGAGCCCGCGCAAGCAGCCTCGGCACTTATTAAGGGCCAGGCATATACGATGACAAATGCCGACGTGACCCTAGGGATCTTTATTATCGGTCATCATTTTTATTATCTTAAAATTAAATTTGAAAATGGCCACTAGATGGCATTGTCCACTCCTATATTAGGCGTTTTATATTTTGATGTGGTTAAAGCCAAACAAACAAAATAATTCATTAGTTTATCATTATATGATAGAACTAAACTTATAATATTAAAAAGCATATAATAATTCTCGATAAGAATTTTCTTCCCTTATAAAAATTTCCGATAGGATCTCGCGAAATTCCTACAGGAGTCCTCTAGGATTCCAATAGGAATTTCGCGGGATCCTATTGGAAATTTTTATAAGGGTTATAAATATATGTTGTGAAACAACAATCGTCTTTGACGATATCGAGGAACACCCCGTCCAACAAGTATATAAACTATACACAAGTCGGAAAACTAAACTCATAATATTAAAAACATATAATAATTCTTGATAAGAATTTTTTTTATAAAATTATGTTGTGAAACAACAATCGTCTTTGACGATATCGAGGAACACCCCGTCCAACAAGTATATAAACTATACACAAGTCGGAAAACTAAAATTTATATCTTAAATTAATTGTTTGATTAAATCAAACTTTTATTGTAAACAATAATTAAACTCTTCATACGAATTTTCAGTTTGCCTATCTGACNAGCATAAAAAAGAACACAAATTCGATTTGTTCAAAGAACTCGTGGTTTCGCTGCCGAGTCACAGATCGTTGCTGTTCTGTTACAAATCAAATTACCTCGTTATTACGACAATGACAGCCAGAAATCGCTTTTTTGAGCCAAGCAAATGTCGCATTTTATTCTCGCATACGTGCGAATTGTTACAAAATATGTGCATTATTGTGTCAAAAAATGATCTACATTAAGACACTTTTCGGTCATTCATCGATCTTTTTTTCTTGAAATTTTAAGCAACGAACAAATGCAAAATTAAT